TATGGCCTAGCCTTTTATGCCACAGTGGATCAGAAGTGGAAAAGCAGGATTGATAAGCATGTGGTGAAGAAGGAGAAGAAGAAGCACTGAACTGATAGAGACAATTGTTATTAACTCCTTTATGCATAACCTTTTTCGTGACTTTGTCCTGAACCACAAAAGAATGAGCATCAAAAATAACAATGCAATTGTGATCTTTTGTCAACTGATGCACAGAAAGAAGATTAGAGGAAATTGAAGGAACATGGAGAAGATTGTTAAGATGAAAAGAATAAGTAGGAGTAGGTAAAAGACCTTGTCCAATATGATGAATAGGTAAGGAAGTACCATTACCTACAGTTACTTGATCATGTCCAGGATAGGCTTCATACAAAGAAAAATTTGCAAGATCATTTGTCATGTGATTTGTGGCTGCAGAATCAATGTACCAAGGCACGTTTGTTTCATTTGAAGCTGATACAGATGCAGAACTAGAAGCTACAGAGGCTGTATAGGCTTTAGAAGGACCAGGCCTAGAGGACTGATAGGACTGAGAAGTCTGTGATGTTATAGGTTGAAAATTTGGGTCCATACGGTACCAGCAGTCAAAAACTGAATGACTGAGACCACCACAGATCTGACAGCCTTGAGAAGAGGCAGATCTACCTTTATTTCAATTGTTGAAACTTCCTCGAGATTGCATATATCTGCCTTCTCTTCCTCTATAAGTGTTGCGACCTCTAGATTGTGAATAACCACCTCTTTCTGATCCAGAATGGAAAGATCGAGAATTAAAACCGGAGTACAGATAGTGTTGAGTGGATCCTTTAGCTGCTGTGTAGGCAACATTGAGATCATTACTGGTGTTGGAATCTTTCATCTTAGCCTCAATATGAATATATTCGGAACATAACAATGAGCATAGCTCATCCATAGAAATAGCTTCAGATCTGGCTCGAATAGCAGTAGTGAATGCATCATATTCACTAGGAAGATCATTCAAAGTCATTAATACCAAATCCTCATCATCAACCTGTGCAGAGGCTAGTGACAATTGATCTGAAATTTCTTTGATTTGGAAGAGATATTCTTCCATTGAAGAGGTTTTCTTGGAGACAATTTGAAGCTTATTTTTTAGTTGATGGATATGTGATCTAGACAAAGATGTAAATCGTTTTTCAAGTGCTTTCCATACCTCAACACTGTGTTGAAGATGAAGAATAGATGAATACACAATAGGAGATAGTGTAGCAGTCAAACAACTCAAGAGATGCGCATCAATTGTTTTCCACTTTGCATAATCTGGATTTGGAAGTGTTTTTCCAGATGAATCCATGATCTCTGAAGTAGGACATTGAATCAATCCTGTGACAAACCCTAAGAGATTCATAGCACGTAGCATGTTTTGCATTTGACTCTTCCATATCAAGAAATTTGTAAAATCAAGCTTGACAGTAACCAATGATCCAAAATTTGAGATGAGAAGATTAAGATTTGATGGTAAAGAAGATGAATCTGCCGTTGATGAAACTTGCTCGTTGGAGCTTTATTGAAGCTTTGATACCATGAAGAAAGATTTATTTTGTATATTATATCATCATACCAAGATTCATTTTACAGATCTGTATATATATAGGAATGCTATAACAAACTCACTAAACAAACTCTAAGGTGCCGTTTGGTAATACTTACGTTTTCAGTTTTCTGTTTCTATTTACAAAAATTTTAAAAACTCAAATAAAAACTTGTTTGGTAAATTTTTGATTTATAAATCAGTAGTTTCAGTTTATAAATTTTGTCAAAAAATATAAACTCAAAAAATGTGTTTCCGTTTTGAGTTTTGAGTTTTTTTTTTTTACCACCCAACACTAGCCACCACTCGCCACCATTTTCCACCACCGTCTTCCGCCACCACCACCCACCCCCCACCACCACCACCCGCTACCACCACCCACCTGCCACCCACTCGCCACCACCATCACCCACTACCCACCTGCCATCCACCAGCCACCACCCGCCACTACCATCCACCGCCGCTACCCGCCACCTACTTGCCACCACCACTTACCACCTACCTGCTACCACCAGCCACCTACCACCACCAGCCATCTACCACCCATCCGCCACCACCACCCACCACCCACCACCCACTCGCTACCATCTACCACCCACCCACCGTCACCCACACCTGCCACCACCACCCATCTGTAAGATTGAGAATTATTCGAATTTCCTCTGTTTCTCTCCCTCTCTGTATAATTCTATCTTTGTTATTTCTTGTTCTTTTGATTGTTCTCATTATTTCTCCTACTGTTGTTAGATGAAAGACATTTATTTATGAATTATGGGGGGATTGCTCAGATGGCTAGTTTTCTCACTAATGTTTGATGACTACCCAGATGATGTTGTAGAATGCAATGCAAGTTCCTATTACTTAGTCTTAAGTTTTTTTTTTTCTTAATGCAAAATGATTCATTCATAGCAGTGAAATCGAATTTGAGCTTATATGACAAAACAAAAAAATAAAACACATAGCACACAAAGTATTTCCACACCCAAAAAAAAAAATGAGGGTACGATTGTCTACCATGTCTCCCTCGTGAGAGCAGGGAGCCTTCTGCATTGGATACGACCTTTTTTTTTTTATATTTTTAAAATTTTTTAAACATTTTGTCAATTACCAAACGCGTTTGTAGTTTATGTTTTTTTAAAAATAAACAAAAACCAGTTTATGAAATTTTTGTAAATATAAACTGAAAACGTAAACGTTACCAAACAGACCCTAACTAACTAACCATATTATCTAACTAACTAACCATATTATCTAACTAACTAACCTTACTAATACAACTGCATTTTGCTGAATTGCTAATATAACAGTGGTGTGACTTAAGCAGCATCACAGTCCAATGCTGAGCTTACAAATGTGTTTGTGCCTCCTCTGCCTCTTGTATCTTATCATTAGCCAAGATGCCACGTGGGTAGACCATGGTGCCGAATTGGATAGAGGACTAGAGTCCTAGATGATATCAAGCTACCTATTTGGATAAGGATGGGACTCTTGAGGAAGTTTATCTTAATCTGAATAGTGTGAGTTGTAATAGATGTTATCCTTGTAAATGATGGAGTCCTATGAAGTGAGACTTCTATGGGAAGTTGGACACTGACCATTATAAAACTGAGGCACCCGTGGGTCTAAGATATGCTTTTATTTGTGATGCTTTGACTTGTGCATTTAGTATTTATTTGATATCTTTAAGAGATAAATTGACTGACTTGATTGTCGGAGTGCCCCCGGGTGGACGAACCATTACGGTATTCTCATCTTCTTGTTGACGGGTGGTTGACTTAATCTATTCTGCCGCGTGCTCTCCAACTAAGTTCCCCATTTGATTGTGTGGTCAAAAATTAACATCCACAGTTGTCTTCTATTTCTCTCATGATTTCCCCATTTTACTTTCTATTCTGTTAATTATGTTCTTGGCGGTATCCCTTTTCTTCATATACACCATTTTTTTAAAAAAAATTACATCAATTCACACAACGAATATATAATACTTGCATATAGAATACACTACTATTTTATGAAATAAGATCATTTATGTAAAGGGTGTAATTTTGTCCCGGCCCGGCCCATTCGGGCTCGGGCCGGACCAGGCCCATGTCAGGCCTTGCGAGCTCCCGTCAAAAAATCGAGCTAGACCGAGCCGGCCCACGGACCAGAAAACTAGGCCCAAGCCTAAGGGTATTCGGGCTTTGGACGGGCCAGTGGACCGGGCCTTGGGTCGGGCACTTGGGCTTGGACCTGGGGCTCGGGATTTGGGCGAGCCTAAACAATTTTTTTAAATTTTTTTCACCAAAATTTTATTATTTTTCATTAAAATAACACTGGGCCTCGGGTTTTTTGGCGGGCCTTAAGCGGGCCGGGCTGGGCCGGTCTTCAAAACGATGGCCCAGGCCCTGGCCTAAGGCCTCGGGCTGGGCTTGGGCTCGGGCCTTAACCGGTCGGGCCCACCTCGGACTGCAGGCGGATTTTGGGCCGCCCACGGGCCGCGGGCCAAAATTACACCCTATTTATGTGTATACAGATATGTCAGCTCACATATTCACGAAATAAATAAATAAAAAATGTCAAATATATTAGGGCCATGGCAGTAAAATAAATAAAATTAGTAGAACTTGACACATTTGATTTGTTAATAATTTATTTAAATTGACCCTTTATATAATTAAATCAAATTTTATCATATTTTAAATATGATTAATTTTTTAACGACGACTCAAAAATATTATATACACTATTAAAAAATTAAGTAATTCAAAAAATAAAAAATTAGCTTAAAAATAAATAAATTAATTGTTAAAATTTTAAATAGCTTACTACTCTAACTTGACCCAAATTATTTTTAAAATAACCACCAGGGTTGGTGGCCTGGTGGAAGGACGCAGCATGTTCCCCAGCCGAGACCCAGGTTCGATTCCTGGAAGGGAGCCGTTTGTTATCTCTACGGAGAGCTCGCCCTTTACTCCCCTCGTTCCTAGACTCTGTTGCGGCATGTGTCTGCCCTCTACTGGTGTCCTGGTGGTGGGTCCCTCACTTGGTGAGGGTTAATTCCTGGCTGGCAACCGGTTACCCCGGAGCCAGGACCCACAGGGGCCATGATGACACCACATAGCCCTTTTTTTTGTGTTTAAAAAAAAAAAATATTTTTAAAATACAAAAAATATCATTTTCTATTAATTAAATACTTTGGAGTCTTATCCAAATTGGAAGACACACAATTAGCAACACCATGGATTGTCAGTTGCCAACTGGCAACTGCCAAATCGCACCCCATGATTGAATATAGCTCGGTTAGTTGAATATCAAAAACAAAACACCCAAACAAGGCCTACCCCAAAAACACACATCCACATTAATATCCTTTTTTTATAAAAAGTCAATTATTCAATTGGTAAAATCTTTTCAAAATTTTGGATAAAGGAATAAAAGAAAAAAAAAAATTCCAAATCATTGTTCATTGATTCCACCTACCTATCCCACTTTTTCCTCCTTCCCCTCCTGTGAAGCTTCAAAACTACACACAACGCTCCAACTGTCTCTCTCTCTCTCTCTCAATAATAGTCAAAGAGCACATCCCTATCTTCAATCCTCCAATTCCACTGAAAAAACCAGGTGTGAGTCTTTATTAGATTTCTCTTCTCTGGGTTCATAAGCCTTGTTTGTCTTGATTTCTCATAAGAAACAGAAAAAAATTGAGAGAAACTAGTAAAAGTAGAGGTGGGTTTTGTTGGGTCTTTCTTGTTTGAGGCTCTCTATCTAGTTTGAGAAAAGGTCTAATTTTCACAGCCATGGCTTGTTCATTGAAGACTGGTCTCTCTGTTTCTGGGTCTAATCAGACCTTCCCCAGGTCCAAAACCAAAGGGGTTCTGCAGCTTTCTCCTTCTAATCACTATCTCCAGTTTACAGACTCACATTCTAAGGATTTTCTGGGAAAACCCATGTTTGTTGCAGATCACAAGGGTTTAAGAGATTGGAATTCCAAACCCTCCTCAAAATTTGCCATTCATGTATGTGAATCTGCAAATCTCTCTCTCTCTCTCTCTCTCTCTCTCTTGATTGTAATTTTTTGGGTTTTGAAGTGACATTTATTCAACAATTTCAGGCACAATCATCGATTTGTGTGAGCAAAGCTCTGCGTTGGTGGGAGAAGACACTGAAACCTAATATGATAGAGATCCAATCAGCGCAAGAACTTGTAGATTCATTGTTGGGTGCTGGTGATAGATTGGTTGTAGTTGATTTCTATTCCCCTGGTTGTGGAGGTTGCAAAGCTTTGCATCCTAAGGTACTATTCCAACAATCATATACATTAGTTTATTCACCAACAGGGTTGGTTCAGTGGATAAGATATACGTTAGTTTATTCAGATAGCCATTTCAATTTTAAGTTAATCTTCATAGATTTTGCATTTAAAGTTCAATTATTTTGGGCTAATTTCCTAATAGCTTAATTTTTTCTATTCTTTCGGATTATTGGTGATCTTTGATGTATCATAGTTTATGATTTCAAGAGGTCTTGGGCTCTATATAATTTCTTTTACTGCTTTTGCATTTGAAATTCGATTGTTTTCTTTTGTTAGCTTGATATACATTATTGGGCTAATTATCTAATAGCTTAAGCCATAATTGATCTTTGATGGTATGATAGCTATGATTCTAGGCTCGAATCTTGTTATCTCTGTCATTAGGCACTCAATCTGTACTTATATTTCCTCCACGTGGAGAGTGATAGCTTAATATACATTGTTTAGCTCATTTACTAGTAGTTTAAGCTTTTTAGATAACTGGTGAGTAATATGTTGATAGCCTCTGTCCTTTTTTTATCTTGTATCAGATCTGTCAACTGGCTGAATCGAACCCAAATGTGATTTTTCTCAAAGTTAACTATGAAGAGCTCAAGAAAATGTGCCATTGTCTCCACATACATGTCTTGCCCTTCTTCAGATTCTACAGAGGTGCTGAGGGCAGGTTGTGCAGCTTCAGCTGCACCAATGCAACTGTAAGCATTTCGAATCGATTTTGGTCCATATTTATAAAAATCCTCAAAATTTAATACCAAACTATTAATGGGTTTCTTGTAATTTAGCTGATAAAACTTGTGAATTTGTGTGTAAACAGATCAAGAAGTTCAAAGATGCATTGGCAAAACATGGGACTGATAGATGCAATCTTGGCCCTACAAAAGGACTTGATGAGTCTGAGCTATTGAGTTTAGCCTCAATCGGTGAGATATCTATAAATTCACCATTTTCATCAACCAAGGAAGAGAAAATGGAAGACTTGGTTCTGAAAAACATAGATTTGATTGGTGCATTGGGCAAAGCAAGCAATGATAAGATGGGACTTGAAGAAGAGAAGAAGGGTGCAATGTTGTTGGCTTGAAAGCTTGATCCAAGATTGTTGGATATTGGTTATGGAGTAAAGCAGCTCCAAATTTCTATGATTTTTTGTTTTTAGTATTTTTGGGGCTTGTTTGTATATATATGTATCACTTCTGGGTTTTCCATAAGCAGGCTTATGTTTTTTTTTTTTTTTGTGGATAAGCCCTGCATGTTTGGTAAATCTATGATTCTGGTGGATTGGATATTTTATCTCATCTTTTTAGCTGGAGATAATATTTCATGACACGTATCTCTTCTTCTTTCTTTTTTTTTTAATATATATTTTTTTTGGTGGATCTGATTAAGGAGTTCTATCTCATCTTTTTAGCTGGAGATATTTTCATGACACGTATCTCTTCTTTTGTTTTTTTTTGCTTTTTGCTTTTTGTTTTTTGTTTTTTTTGAATCTCATTAAGGAGTTCTATCTCATCTTTTTAGCTGGGGATAATATTTAAATTTCATGACACGTGTATCTCTTCTTAAACGCGTTTACTCTTTTCTATTTTTTATTTTTATTTTTATTTTGACAAAGATTTATTTTTTATTTTTTTAAAATGTAAACAATTTATAAAATTTTAAGAAACAAACACAAGCTCTCACCCTTTGACAATAAATATATTTTCTTCTTTTCGTTTTTGGCTTTTTTAAAACTTGTGTACTAACTACTAAATATGTTTTTTTTTAATTTTATAAAAAATAAAGATAAATATGTTTCGTTAAAACTTATTTTACAATTTTTAACTTATTTTTCAAATTCAAATTGTGTTTCAAAATGCAACTTTAAATTAACTTATTATAATAAAACTCATTGTTGGTATTTTGAAAATAGGGATCATTGTTGCAAGTGAGAGTTGAAAAAGTGGTTCTTTAAAGGATAAAGCTTGGGAGCTCAAATGAGCTCCCTCGAATCCCCTGAAAATGGAAACAGAAGGAAAAGAGGGGGAAAAGAGGGTGAAGGCGAGAGAGAGAGAGGGAGAAAGAGAGAGAAGAGGAGAGAGGGAAACAGAGAGAGAGAGAGAGGAAGAGAAGTTCGGCCGATCGTCGGCCGATCGCCGATGGTCGCAGCAGCTCGCCGATCGTCGCAGCAGCTCGCCGATCGTCGCAGCTGTTCGGCCTCCGCCGCGCCTCCGTCCCTGGTTTATGCCCCCTCCTGTCCAGTTCTCCCTTCTCCCTTCCCTTCATCTTCTTCTCCCTTCTCTTCATCTTCTTCTTCTTCTTCTTCTCCCTTCTTTTTCTTCGTTTCTGATTCAACCCAAAAAAACAAAAAAACAAATGAAAAAACGACGTCGTTTTTTAAATTAGGGGGATTCGGGGGGTTGATTTCAAGTTACGTAGCATTACTCTTCTTTAAATAAGGAAATACCTTTAAAGGAAGAAATTCACTTTTTAGTTAAAATTTGAGAGGAAAAAAAAAGTATTGCTAGAGATCCTCGATCATACGAAATTTTGGTAAATAATACATTTTTTTTTTATTGTGCATGAATGAATGGGATTAAAATTTCAATTTTCGCAAAGTAATTATTGATTAACCTCTTATAACGAATACATCACATGATTGAGTAACTTTTAAATTGATTTTTTAAAAAATTAGATTAATTATACTTTACCTCTTTTATATTTGGTTACTTTCTCACTTTAACTATTAAAGTTTGTGACGATCCCACCACGTATGATATTTTACATTTAATTAATTCTTATTCTAATTCAATTGTGAAATTCTCAATAAGGTGAAATTGACGATTGAATTATTTTAATTTCGAGTATCGGACCATAAATTAAAATGAAACTCAAAGTGAACTTAATTATTAGTAGAGAAATTAATCAGTGGGCCAAAGGTAAATAAAAGAAATTTGAGAGTGAAAGTAATAAATAAATATAAATATATATATTTATATATAATGCCTTGTTAACATATAGGGCGGTGAATATGCACTTATAGCTTAGTAAGGTCATCGAGTCGGACACGGGGAAGTGGGCAACAATGCCACCTGTGGGACAGGTGGCCTAGCTTGAAATTGTCACCTGGCAAAAGTTAATGAAGCCTCACCAACTCCAAATAAGTTGCCAATTGCTGGGCATAAACAACGAAAACAAAAACTACGGTACGGTAGACTGGTAGCAGAAAATTAATTCTAGAAAAATAAAAGAGAAGGGTTAATATTAAGATAAATTATATTATATTTTGAGTTATTATAATATATTTTAAAATTTTTTAGGGCCACCAATCATTTTCCCCCTAACATATAGGGCGGTGAATATGCACTTATAGCTTAGTAAGGTCATCGAGTGGGACACGGGGAAGTGGGCAACAATGCCACCTGTGGGACAGGTGGCCTAGCTTGAAATTGTCACCTGGCAAAAGTTAATGAAGCCTTACCAACTACAAATAAGTTGCCAATTGCTGGGCATAAACAACGAAAACAAAAACTACGGTACGGTAGACTGGTAGCAGAAAATTAATTCTAGAAAAATAAAAGAGAAGGGTTAATATTAAGATAAATTATATTATATTTTGAGTTATTATAATATATTTTATATATTTTTTGAGTTATCATAATTTGTTTTACGTAAATTATGTTTTATAAATTAAATTAATATTTCAATTACGTTAATTATTTTATGAACTCTAGTTGCTTAAAATGAAACCCATGGATATGTTTGTTTAAATTTTAAAAATTATTTAATAAGGATTTTGTAAACAATTATTTTTTGTAAGTAGCACCACGGGAGTCACATCTCTTGGGAGACTTAAATAACCATTGGTCTTTGTTTGGCCACTTTGTGGTCCTCTGTTTGTCATGGATCCATTGGCCTCTGTTTTGACTGTTACTCCAGTGACCTTTGTTCTGTTCTATTCTGTACCGTAGTTATGGTTATTTATTTACATAATTTCTATATTTCAGTTTCTGCCACTGAAATAATTTGTTTGTTCAAATTAAGTTGTGTTAATGTTTTAACTTAAATAACTATCCATTGTTATTTTGTGTCCCCTATACTGTTAGCATAATATTTCTCACTCTGCTATGTATTTATAGTTGTTAACCACTTTCAGGTGACGTGTCAAAACCAGTGCATGGGTGTCACGACCCAAACCCGCCCCTATAGGTTTAGCATCATAACCGGCCAGTAATCCTTGGACTACCGAAGGCCTCTGAACAGATTAACAAGTTTAAGGGGCTAGCGGAAGCGAATACATAAATATAGTTGTCTAATGAGCTGTGCTGACTTATATGAACAGAATATTTAAACTTTATATACATAATCAAAAATCATTCATACATTATACCCACACACATTACAGTATTTTAAGTACAGCCACGACATCAATCAAGTCTTATATATACAGAGACAACAGAACTTAAACATTGGACGCTTCTAGAACCTCCACGTGAGGCACAATAATTGGCTGACAATAGAACACGGATCCAGACAAAAGCCTTCAGGCTCGGGCTCCAGAATGCTCACCTATACATATATATACACACAATGAGCTAAAGCCCAATGAATAACATTAAGGTAAAGGGGTTAGTGAACGAAATCCGAATATATTATAAGCAGAAAACAGACCAGAGCATAATCATTCTCATATCAGAACATAATAATGGTACATCCCATAGAACACATCACAGAACGTCTTCCGACTAGAGTAATTGGTTCCGGATACCGATTAAACACATATCACCACAATGAAGTGGCTAACGAGATCTCGTAATTACTTGTATGTCATGAACCCGTATTTTCATGTCGTCCCCCATGACTTAAGACTATCTATGGATGCCATAATAGATTTCAAACTTGGGATGTTCGTTCACGTAAACAAATATCATTTTAGAAATCATAACTTATCACATTTCATTTGGAACATAATTCATATCAACATATCTTTATAGAAATGTTACTTATAGTGGTTCCAGCAATGGTCAACCAACCCTCGAGTCTTGACCTACAGTCACAAAATACATAACACAAGCATGCCTATCATTACACATTCAAGAGGTCATTAAGGCTTAGCTTTTATTACACTGATTCTTAACCTTTCCTATCATAATGCCTAACACACACACACTTGCAGTCTCGGAACTTAGCACATTCTTTTCTGAGTGTGTTTCTAATCCATAACCTTATTATCAAAGCTTAATTAAGGCTTAGAAATGTCTAAGATGCAATGAGGATACCAAAACAAACCTTGGGACACTTAGGAAAATTTCTGAAAATAAGGTCCACGCTCGAGCGTGGCGGTCCACGCTCGAGCGTGGCTTTCCCTGCTTGAGCGAACATGCAGACAAAGAAGTTTCGCTCAAGCGTGGACTTCCCCGCTCGAGCGGCCTGCAAACTTATGACACGGATTTATATGCTAGTAATTAAAAAAAATGATATAACTCAAGAATGTTTATAATAAAATTTTCCCAAAATAAAACGCTCTGGACTCATCATTTGAGTGTCTTTGTACAAATATATATATATATATATATATTTATATAATATTAATTCATTTGATCAACGACACATTATTTAAATTGCAGACCAACCCGATATACCAAAAAAACAAAAGCAACTCACATGAGAGATCCACTTGTGATCTCTTAGTGGTTCCTTGTAGGGGTGAGCATGGTCAGGATTGGATCAGATTTGAATAAAATTAGGATTAATTTGTTATCTTCGGGTTTTGAAAAATTAGAACCAATTCAATCCGTTTAAATCATGGAACCAATCCGAACCAATCCATTTAAATACGGATTTGATCGGTTTAAGATCACGAATTCACATAATTAAATAATAAAAATATATATAACATTTTAATTTCATAAAAATATAAATATAACGCTATATTAGTTCCATAATAGCAACATGTTTTTCTATAATAACGACATACTGTTTTAGAATTTAAACAACCATAAGAAAACTGGTTTTACCATAAGTATTTAGACCATTACAAATTAAAATTAAAAATTAACAAACAAAAGTAATAAAAGAAGATATTATACGGTTTCAAATTTGAGTTTAGATTTTATATAGAATAAGAGAAGATACTATAGGGGAGGATGTATAATAAAAACATAGGCTATTTGTATACGGTCCGGATCGATTCTAATCAGGAACCATGGGGTTCAATCCGGAACCAATTCGTAAACTACGAATTTTTAATTCTTCAATCCGAAACCGAACTGGGGATTCAAAAAACCAATCCAAACCTATCGGATTGAACTGGACTGAATCGGATTACGGATTTCACGGATTCCTTACTCGGCCTTAGTTCCTTGTAAGTTAGATGCCGTGGAACTGAAGTGGATGCCTCTA